GGATCTGTTGGTGTTACAGTCGTTGGTTCTGAAGTTGTTGAAGGTAGTGTTGTAGGAATAGTCGTTGGATCTGTTGCTGGTACAGCTGTTAGTGCTAAAATTGCTGTTGATTGTAATCCTGGTACTGTCGATAGATCAGTTGGTGATGCAGTCGTTGAGGCTAAAGTGGTTGAAGGTTGTGTTGTTGATCCTGTCGTTAGATCTGTTGGTGTTACAGTCGTTGGATCTAAAGTTGTAGCAGGTTGTGTTGTTGGTCCTGTTGTTGAATCTGTTGGTTGTACAGTCGTTGGATCTGAAGTTGTTGAAGGTTGTATTGTTGGCACAGTCGTTAGATCTGTTGGTATTACAGTCGTTAGTTGTGAAGTTGTTGAAGGTTGTGTTGTTGGTACTGTTGTTGGTACTGTTGTTGGATCTGTTGTTGATCCTGTCGTTGGATCTGTTGGTGTTACAGTCGTTGGTTCTGAAGTTGTTGAAGGTTGTGTTGTTGGTACTGTTGTTGGATCTGTTGTTGATCCTGTCGTTGGATCTGTTGGTATTACAGTCGTTGGTTCTGAAGTTGTTGAAGGTAGTGTTGTAGGAATAGTCGTTGGATCTGTTGCTGGTACAGCTGTTAGTGCTAAAATTGCTGTTGATTGTAATACTGGTACTGTCGTTAGATCAGTTGGTGATGCAGTCGTTGAGGCTAAAGTGGTTGAAGGTTGTGTTGTTGATCCTGTCGTTGGATCTGTTGGTGTTACAGTCGTTAATTCTGAATTTGTTGAAGATTGTGTTGTTGGTACAGTCGTTGGATCTAAAGTTGTAGTAGGTTGTGTTGTTGGTCCCGTTGTTGAGTATGTTGGTTGTACAGTCGTTGGATCTGTTGATATTACAGTTGTTGGATCTGTTGGTGTTACAGTCGTTTGTTCTGAAGTTGTTGAAGGTAGTATTGTTGTTACTGTCGTTGGATCTGTTGGTGTTACGGTGGTTGTATCTAAAGTTGTTGAAGGTAGTATTGTAGGTACTGTCGTTGGATCTGTTGCTGGTACAGCCGTTAGTGCTAAAATTGCTGTTGATTGTAATATTGGTACTGTCGTTAGATCAGTTGGTGATGCAGTCGTTGAGGCTAGAGTGGTTGTAGGTTGTGTTGTTGATCCTGTCGTTGGCTCTGTTGGTGTTACAGTCGTTGGATCTAAAGTTGTAGCAGGTTGTGTTGTTGGTCCTGTTGTTGAATTTGTTGGTTGTACAGTCGTTGGATCTGAAGTTGTTGAAGGTTGTATTGTGGGCACAGTCGTTAGGTCTGTTGGTGTTACAGACGTTAGTTCTGAAGGTTTTGAGTGTGTTGTTGGAATCTGATTGTGTTACATGTTGTATCTAAGTTGTAAGTAGTATGTTGGTACGTTCTTGGATCTGTTGCTGGAGCCGTTTGGCTTAAAATGCTGTTGATTGTAATATTGGTACTGTCGTTAGATTACTTGGGATGCAGTCGTTAAGGCTTAAATGTTTGAATTGTGTTGTTGATCCTGCGTGGAATCTGTGTTTTACAGGTCGTTGATTCTGGAATTGGAAATTGGTTGGGTACATCTTGGATCTAAAGTTGTAGCTAGTGTGTTGTGATCCCGTGAGTCTTTGTTGTACAGCTCTTGTGGAAAATCTGTGATATACACTTGTTGGATCTGTTGGTTTACAGTCGTTGTTCTGAAGTCAAGTTAAATGAAAGGTCAGTATGTTACTAGTCGTTGATTGTTGCTGGTTACAGCCGTTATGCTAAAATTGCTGTTATTGTAAATTGGTATGTTCGTTATGTAGTGGTGATGCAGTCGTTGAGGCTTATAGATGGTGTAGGTTTGTGGTCCTGCGTTGCTCGTGTTACATCGTGGTCTAAAGTGTTGAAGGATTGTGTTGTGGCCTTTCGTTGAGTATGTCGTTTGTACAGTCGTTGATCTGTTGTCGTACAGTCGGTTGGTTTAAATTGTTGAAGTTATTATTGGGAACTGTCGTTGGATCTTTTTAGTACAGTCGTTGGTTCTAAAGTGTTTGTAAGTTGTTGTTGTTTGTGACTAGCGTAATCTGTTAATGCATATACTTGATCTGTTGGATGGTACTTCGTTTGATGCTAAATTGTGAGTTTTTTGCTGTTGCTTGATCTGTGATTCCTAAATCTAATTCCGGAGCCGCCAAGGATGATGACGAAATCTTGAAATTTTTTCCTTTAACTGCACTAATTCGTAAGTATGTACACAATTACAATTTGAGAAAATAAAGAATCAGAATTTATTTTTTTCCGGTTGTTTTAAATTCTAATTCTCACTAAGTGCGGAAGTAGAATCTTGCTCTGGCGGTAATTTTTACGTACGTTTTCAATGTTTCAGCCAAAGTACTTCCAGAAAGGACTGGAGGCCAGTAATTAGTAGATGGCGGAGCAGTGTCCGAGAATGTATTTAGATAACCGACTGGTGATCATGAATCACGAACATATGG